TGCAACACCTTATAACTAGCCTATAACGCCTACACATGCTTTAGAAGACGGGGTCTCTAAACGAGCTTGCTTCTCGAGAACAAAAAGCACTACCAAAATGCACAGGTCCCGCAGAGTCCCTCAAAACGCCGCCCGCCGTTCTTTTTGAAGCTTGCTGTGGCCGGAAAATGCTGAAACTCCAAAAGGATTTGCGGGGCCTCTGTGCGCGGAGGCCACTTTTGTCTGGAGTTTTCAGGGGCGGGAAACTCCAACAAACGGTATGGGGTCTCTTGGGCACCTGTGCGGTGTGCGCCGATTCAAGCTTTCAGGGGGGGCCCGAAAACTCAAACAAAAACAATAAAACAAATGTACAAGTTCCGGATTCGGAACACGCTCCGGAGCGAACACGCCAAACTGCGGCTCCATTGACGCTCCCCGGGACGTGCTCAATGCGGCTGTCTTGAATCCTATGGTTGCAGAAGAGTGACAAGATGGGACAAGAATAGACGAGAAGGCAGCGGCCTGCAAAAGGGAGACGAGAAGGGAGCAAATTCCACGATCCAGCTGGTTCCAAGAAGGCAGCCAAGTAGTGACCCAAGAGTTGACTGTTGGACCGGAAACATTGCCAACACTACGCCACTGTACCGGTCGTCTGCACATAGAGCAACCGAGCAGCTGACCTATTAAAGCTTGCAGGGACCTGCACCTGCAAACATTCACCATCGGCTTTGCGTTCAGATGATCAATGCTGAGTTCTGCACCTGCTCTTGCAATTTCCACGAGGCAAGCCTTGGAACGCTGGCATAAACATGCTGCTGGCAAAACAGCCCGCGGAAAAGCTGGCTGGCGTTGTGCATCGTGTACAAGGTTTGTCTTGCTTTGTCGTTTCGAGGAATGCTTGGCAACTGCTCCAAGCACTTACTGCTCCAAGCACTTGAATACATTTTAACTACTCCGCTTTGTTCAATGAATTGCCTGTACGAATGTCCGCCTGTATCTTGACAGTGATGCTGCATAGATATACTATACATGCTACCCCCCTCAATCATCCACCGATTTGGGAATCTTCAATCCCTTCTCTCGAATAGTATAGCTAAAGTAGCACCATTCGTTCCCGTTTAAAATCCTCACAAGCACCTTAAACTACAAAAAACTTTGTGGCTGAGCATGATCTTGCGTGCCCTTCCAACTTCCAAAAATCCTGCAAACACCTGTGAAACCATCAATCATTCCTCGGCCATTCAACAACTCTCCAAACATCTGATCCCAAAAAGAGCGCAGCTGCTGACGGTTTCAAACACCCTCCGGGCACCCGATGTGCCCCTTGCATTTAAAACATGTGATTTTGACCATCCCGCCCTACAATGGGAGCCATCCTGCCGTTTTCAAGCAGGTAATTGCAGATGCTTCCCAGGCTTCCGACTTCTGTCGCGGGACCCTCCAGGGATTCGCGGCGGACTCTCTGGACATTTCTCGGTCGGCGGATCTCTGGCGCAAGCGGCTTGACAGGATTTCTACTCGTCTTAGTGTCCCTCTGGTTGTCCTTGTATGGTAAACTAGACATTTACTTCGAGGCGCCATCCTGCCGTTTCTCAGACAGGTGGCTTCGCAGGCTTCTCTGGGGTGCGCACACCAGGGATGCTTACTCCTGCGGGCTGTCTTTGGAGTGGGCATTCCAGGGGACCTGGTCAGGGAGACCGGGCGGACACTGGGCAGGGAGGCAAGGAGAGGCCAGGAGAGGCGAGGAGAGGCGAGGAGAGGCGAGGAGAGGCAAGGAGAGGCAAGGAGGCGGCTTGACGAGGGTGGCGAATGAAAGGACAGAAAAAGGAAACCAAAACAGGACTCCTTTTCGGTTCCATTTCGTCTTTGATTCCAAAAAGTTGCCCGTTTCCCCCCACCCGCTCCCTACTACTGTCTCGGCTCTGCGTTCAGGACTTCGAAGATGCTCCAGCACACATGCCCTCACCGCTCTCACCGCCCCCCTACATTTTAAGTTTGCCGGCTGTGAAGCTAAAAGGCCCTTTGCCCCGGGACCGCCCGCTCTCATCGCCCACCCTACCTTTGATCCCTCCCTACCTTTTGAAGGGATGCCGTGGAAGAAGCTGCCCATCATCCAGGCCATCGCTCGGGGCTTCGGAGTTGGCGGCACCGGCGGTAGCCATTAAATGATGAAATTCTATAATAATAATAATAATAATAATAATAATATATATATATATGTATACATATATATGCATATCTATGTATGTATATATATATATACAGATGTGATTTGTGTGTGGGGCCCCACCACGCCCTGTGGTTTCAATCCCCTCTGGGCCCCTCTTCGAATGCGACCGAAGCGGTTTACTGAAAAAAACGTGCAACCGACGTGTTATGATTGTGTAAAACTAGCAAAAACGCGAAGTTCTTTTTGAAGGACCTTGTTTCAAAAGGCAACCTCTCAGGAATCTGGTGTCTCGGTCGTGTTCGATTCGCAGTTGAACTACGACATGCCACAACGATTCAGACGTCATATTTTCGGCCTCGTTCGTCACTACATGTTACTAAGAGTTCGTAGGGTTTGTTGGTAGAAGGGCGGAGCTAGAGGTTTGACATCTATTGTCCATCTTGGTGGTCCGATTGTTTGTCTGCGGGGGGGGTCGAAGGAGTGCACACAGTGCCCCTGCTCCACGATATAGAGGCTGCTTCGGATGACCGGATAACCATCCACAAGCTTCCCAATGTATGAACTGAACATGGGTGTAGAACCTGCTGACGGAATGACCAGCCTTTGAAAATAAAATACATACTAAAAAACCGAAAGCATGCACGCCACTATGCATATGTGCCTCAGGCAAGGCAATCGAGGATGTTTAAACTTCACTTGTACTGCCACATCAGCGCTAGGATGGCACAAAACGCCGAAAAAAATAGCACCTTGCAACTTCTATTGTCGCTGTCAGCAGAAATACGTTTAGAGGGTCAAGGCAGTTGAAAGAGTTTTGCAGCTCCGAAATTTCATGGCAATTACAGCACCTTGAACTGTTTCGCAATCTGAGCTGCTATCAGAAAGACAGCGCTGGCTCTTGAAACAGAGTTGAGGGCGGCCCAGCAACTGCTAAGGCCCAGGGCGTGGAAGAGGCCGACGCAATGACGGCTGGCATACTCTTGACTCTAGTTTACAGGGTCTGAGGCATACGCAAACACGAAGAGTTTATCTGGAATTGGATGAGGGAACTCAGATCGGGAGCTCCGCGGGCGACCGTTCATTCATCCGCGGTTACACAGCACAAGGTGTAAGATTGGAACGAGGTCATATGAGGTTGTCGATCTCTTCTGCCAGAGAATGGGCCACTTCCAATGGAGACACTAGCGTTGATGGGGCTGATGAAGATTGTTTTTTGCTTCCTCGCTTTTAGGTTGGGGCATGGCCAGTGCAGATGCTTGTGTGATGCTACGACATGCTGCACGCCATCCGGCATAACGACGGCTTTTGCAGAAGATGAACACACTCCACACACTCCACACACTTCACGCACTCCACACACTGCACAGACTGCACTCCACATCACTGAGCCCCATGCCCGCACAAACACAATGCAGCGCCAATCAGGGCGAACTTGGACTGGCCTAGCTGCACAAATTTGAGTCCTTGAATCTCAACAAAGGAGCCGAAAGGAGCCCCAAATCCCTGTTGTTAGCTTGAAAGCACAGGTTCTACATGGTACTGTGCCCAGATGGGCGGACAGCCACATTTGTGTCTTTTGCAAAACTTCTCACTCGCGTCCTGTCCCTGTCATCAACATCGGCCTGGTTCGTTACCTGAGGCGCTGTTCCGGTGTTCCTTAGTGCAGTCTGGATGTCCACTTCATGTGATTCAGCATGCCAAATGGTGAGGCTGTTGCTGTCTGGCTCGCAGCCACTGCTGCCATGATTCCACCATGCGGGGTCTGGCAGAATCACAGATGGGAGATGTAAGAGATTCGTTGCTAAACGATGAACGAAACAGACTATGGCACACCCTTAGCTTGCTGTGCGAACTGGACGGTAGCGAGTTGCAAGTAGCCACGAGCATCCACGAGCGCATGATGTCTGCAGCTGCTTCGAGAGTCTTGGCACGCTTCACACACTTCCGTCATCAGCACTCCGGGCCTGAATGCCCTCTTTCAGGCCAGCTCCTCAGAGAAGTCACAATCCCAACAGCAGCTCAAGGCAAAGCTCAATGAAAAACTCGGAGCATCCCAAGCTCATCCATGCTCATGGGCTCATCCGCCCGGGTGGGGATCGATAGCAGGGCCTTCTCGTAGCCTGCATGTGGCTGAGCCCATCTGAGCCCAATACCAGATTGCAGCATCAGTTCCCGCAGCTCTTGTCTCAGATCCTTCACGAGTGCCTGCTACAGTGTCTGATTGAAGCAGCTTTGTCACAAATGGCAACTGCAAGTTGCAAGAAAAGTGCAAACTAGGCAAAACGTGTGCAACAGCTGACTCACGCCTCTCGGGCTGAGTCTAAGGTAACATCGGCGCCATAGATGGTAGTCCTGAGTTCAGTCTGTGCACAATGCTAGGTTCGAGTTGTAATTCTGGCTTGGTCCTCCAACTGCTTCGACCCTGCCACACAACCTGGCCCTTGTACACGGACCAAAACTTTGTGCAGCAGCATGCTCTTCACTTCCTTTTTGCGATTCTGCCACAACGCCCAGTCCTGACAGACCCTCTCAGCAACAAACTGCGCAGGAGATGTTGCACGGAAAGTATATCAAGACACGTCCTGAGGTGCTTCCACAGCAAAGTACACGTCTGCCAGGAGCCCAAGATAGCCCCCAAGTATGCTGGAAGCTGTCCTTTGGATCATCTTAGGCCACTCTCACGTTCAGTTGCCTCAAGGCGAATCACACTTATCTTGTCGGCGTCTGCAAGTCGAGGACTTCCTGCATGCCAGGAAATGCCAGGAGACGGGCTCTTAGGTCAGCGCAGAGCTCTCAAGAGGATCTCGCAATGGGTTGCGGTCATGAACACGAGGACGTGGTATACCGGAAATCAATCGAGAGCATCAAGGCATGTACGCTGGGTGTGTTCGGCAGACTTCGGCAGTGCATGTGCTTCAAGTGGGCGCTGAATGCGCTGATGTTGCAGAGTTTGCATTGGTGTTGGCGATGCCTGCACTGGCAAGCCGGCAGATTCCTTGTTGTCTCCTGCTGAGTGTAGGAGCTGAGCCATCTGTGCCATTTTCTGCTCAAGGGGCAATTCCGGATCAATGTTGTAGAACGTGGCCAACTTAGCAGGATCTGATGCAATACTCTGAAAAACTCGAGACCCTTCAGTAGTAGAACGCCCCTGCTGGTGTTGCCCCAAGGACTTGTAGCTTTCAGCGGCCTCCGCATCAAAAGCTTCAGCCACATCCAAACAGCTCTCAAACAGCGTGACCAAGGATGCTGCCAAAGGGGTGTGGGGAACTTCCACAAACTCTCTTGCTAGCAAGATGCCCAGCACGTAGTGTAGTGCTGTCCAATGGGCAATGTGAAATCTGGGAACTAACATTTGTACATGCTGGCAATGTAGAGATACCATCTTCACCAACCGCTCATATACCTCTTTTCGAACGTCGGACGCCATTGTGGCAGACTTCCAAAGCAGAAGCGATCCGATGGGAATTGCAATCAGCAGAGCTTCTTGGACAGCATAGTGGCCAGGAACAAGGTGTGGAAGTCTTCCAGTTTGTGTCCATTTGTCAATGAAGTGCTGAAATCTCCTGAATGCAGTAAGAAGTTCCTCTGCCGATGCCGTTTGTCTTGCTCTTGGGTTCTCCAACCTTCCCCGGATTTCTTGAAGGGCCTGCCTTTCAGTTATCCAGCTGTCGACAGGAATCTGCCCTTTTGCGAGCCCTCCGGCTCCCGCACAAAAGCGGCGATGTGCTTGCCATCCCTGCCGTTGGCATGCGCGGGAACAGAAGTGCACAAGCTTACATCCACTGCACCTGTGTAGCTCCTTCACAATGCTCAGGCTGCGCACGCTGTCCAGCTCGTGCTTGCTTTGATGCTCTTGGCCACGGAAGACTGTCTTGATAACGACGGACTGGTTTTTGACCTCTTGCACAATTCCAATCGCGCCAGCAAGCTCACGGTGGCGAAGTATTTGTACCGCATCGCCGGAATGCAATGTGTGTGGTGAAGCGGAGCCATTGCATGTCTGGCACCTGGGATGCCACCTTTCTAAAGACAGCTGCAAGCCTATCTCAGCCAACATTGGGTTTTCTGCTTCCAGCTGGCCTTAGCGAGTCTCCAGAATCAACATGAGGCAATGAGTGGAGTGCCTGACACGGCGTAACACAGCATGACAAATCAAATCTAGTCGCAACGAGAACAGCCGCAGCGGCCACCGCAATGTGCACGAATGCGCTCTTCTCGAGCCCGTGGTTCAGCAAACAGCTCGTGATAAGAGAGCCGCAAGGGTTCGCCTGCCTCCACACCGGGCTAAGAGGTTCTCTTTTCGGCCCATCTTCATACCATTTCATATCAGCCTCACAAGAAATTACAAAGCTTGGAGTCGTGCCTGGATGTCTCGAATGGCAATCAGCTTCACTTCGAGATCGTCATTGACCGGTCGGTCCCCAGTGCTGAGGATGGAGAAACCTGAACCCAGCAAGCCTAAAAGAAACACAAACGTCTGACATCATATACATATTATCCGAAGGGGCAACTTTTGTAGTTGTATGTGTTTGTGAGCATGGTACTTGGGCGGGTTCTGCCATGCCCCACCGCCCTTCAGCACGCTTGAGGCTACTTGCTCTTTCGAGCTTACACATCGGGCTTGGAGAGTTCGGCATGAGGCTACTGACTCTTCCGACGCTCTAGACCGCAAACCCGACTTGCAACAGGACTCCACCGCGACGGCACAAATCGTGCCATACTCTCCATACTCCCTTTGTCCCCCGGAGCCGAGGCTGGATCCACGCTCAGAAAACAATCCTTATGTCCATGACCCGACTCCTACTTGAACCAAGTTAACATCCTGAAAATGTAGATTTCTTTCAAAGCCCCGCATCAGCTGTGGGCTTCTAAGCTACACTTCCCCAAAGCGTGGGAACATTCGCGAAGTTCCGCTTTCCAAAACTCCAGCCTGGAAATTTCCCGGGCGCGACACTCAGCAACACAGGCCCGTTAAGCATCGGAAAACATACACATTTTCGACAACCCGACTCTGCTTGAAGCAAGATGCACACATTCTCCTCCCTGCTCGAGGCACAGGCATGGTTCAGCATTGAGAACGCATGGAAGCCAACGACTTGGCCTCGCAACGCACTTTGCTCCAGAGTCCGATGCCGTAGCACTCGTGCTGCAAGCTTGCATGTCTGTGGCCTACAAGACCAACGGAGTCGATGTGATATCTTTTGCACGTCAGGTCTAAACAACGAGATCTGCACTCATCATTCCTGATCCCTCGCGTCGGACCTTGTGAGCCACCACAGAGCCCCCCACAAAGACCCCATTCTGGGCTGGACCCTGGTACCATTCGGCACTCTGGCAGGAAAACTGTTTGCGCGACTTTGCGTGGCCCGTGCATGCGACCTGCAAACAGTCTGCGTGTCACAAAACCCACGTCGGTCTTTGTGATTACATTCTCCGTTGGGCTTGCAAGGTTTTTTGTTGCTGGTCTGGACGAAAAACTATTGCCTTCAATCAAAAGAAGTTGCAACATAGTCCTCTCAGCTCTTTGGTCAGGAAAGCGTGGTTTTCAGTTTTCTCGCTGGGATTCTATCATCCTACCTCTGGAGTTTGGGCAGAGGGCAACGACTCCAAGTCCTGCCGTTGTGGAAATTTCACCTCCCCGCTTGCAGACATTTGCAGACTGCAAGGTTGGCATGAAGTAGTCTGCCCTGGCACGCAAAGATGCAAAGATGGAGGGCTCAGGCAACAGAGCAAAACTCAACACTACAAGGAAATGGGAGAGAGTGAGCTTGAATGGCAGTGAATTTTGGTGGCATGAATGTGCACCACTCCACCTTCTTTGTTTCCTGGCAAGAACCCCTACTTGGCTGGTGACGGCGTCGGCCTGCTGGAGCAATAAAAAGTCATGCAGGCATGTCAGTGTGAGCGCCTTGTTCTGTATCGGATGGCTTCAGAGCTGGCCATCACATCTGCCGATGCGCGCTCAGGCCATTCCGCAACACGAGAGCAAACTTTCAAACGCAGGCATTTCAGCATCTCTGTGAAAGCTTGGGATATTGAACTTGCTTCCAGAGTCCATGTGCTTTTTGCAAGCCCCAAAAAATCTTGCAAAACAACACGTCACTCCCATGGTCCCAGTACCATGCGCTTATGTTAAGTTGTTCGCAAACTCCACGCCTTGGAAAATAAAGCTGTTGGTCTCAGCTTCAAGGAGGAAGGGCTGCTCCGTGATTGTTGCGTCGACCTCACCAAGCAAAGCACACATCTGCCTCATGCCCGTCTCACGGTGACTCGACTCATGTGTGACTCAACGCCTGGCTCTGCCTCCAGACCATGTGGAATACAGCACAAGACCGGCATGGGCTGTTGACAGTGTCTTGAATTCAGCTTCGGCTCTGGCCAGGTACGCTGCTGTGGCATGCTCCATGCTATATGCCCAGCGCGCCTAATATTAGGCAAACCTCTGCACGTTAAGCCGCGACGCCTCTGCGGCGGCCAGATTCTCGGCACCTGCCATTGCAAGCGACTTGGGGATGAGACTGGGACGAAAGCTAAGGAGCTGGGGGGAAACTGTCCGGAGTTCACAAACTCTGGCCAGAGTCTGCATTGGGATCCTGGAGGCTTCCCGTAGCATCATGAGCATGACTGGGGCCCTGTTTCTCCCCCAAACCCTGCCAGTTCATCCCTCCCAAAATCCCGGCATGGCCTGCAGTCTCCCATCACACCCCTTGTTGCAACCCTACGGTTGAGAAGGGACTCAGCTAGCCCTCGGAGGTTGGATTTCGTGATTTGCATGTGCGATGTCTAGCGTCGGCCGTTCAACTGCTCTATAGATCTGCAATCACTGAGATCCGCGATGACCTTGGAGTGCCAGATAGTGCCAGAGCTCGTGCTGCACATGCTGCAACAGTGCTGCAACAGTGCTGCCCAACATGTCCGAGAGAGAATCGAAAGTCTTTTCAGAGCCTCGAAGCAGAGCAAAATCGCCCGGCCGTTGCGCCATGGCGGAAGCCAGCTCCACCACACTTGGCCGCACGATGGGTTTTTCCACCAACAGAACCTGTCAAAACAAAAAATGGCTGAACATATCACCAGGCGGGAATCTCGACCAGGCTAACGGCTAGCAGCCATCGTATCTCACGACTGTCCCTTGCTCCAGAGCTTTGCAAATTTCTGCCTTTGACCCCCTGGCTTCCGTCAAGCCACAGATCCCGCGTTGAAGTGCCCAACAGCTGCCAGGCATCGGCCCTGTGGCCCATGAAATGCATACTGAATGCATACTTATTTCACACATACCTCGCATGACCTCGCCAAGCTGCATGCCACGGATCCCAAGAAAATACAGACAAACAACACCTTTCAAAACGTCTTTCGAACACCGTTCGAGGCTCTTCGTGCTTGGACAGATCTGCTAAACGAAGGCCAGCCAGTTCGATGTCCACCAGGCCGATCGGCATTCTGCAGCAGTCGTCGCATCAAGCTACAGGATGCTACAGGTCTGTCCCTTCGAGTGCGTTGAACAGCACTCCGCTTTTGGCGTGCTTGGAGAGATGCCCTTTTGTTGCGCCGCATCTTGCTGGACGTTGGCTAATGTAGCGAAAGCTCTAAGGCCCTTGCTTGAGGCCAAAGCAGCAAAGATCTTCGAAGCAGACATCAGGCACATGAGGTCAATGTAGGGGAGGGCTCAGCACCTTCTCAGCAGTCTCAGCCGCCAGCTTCAGATTCCATTTTTTCTTGATCTTCACAAGGTCCTGCCCCGACTGCTGACCCGAACGACAAGTACGGACACGCACGTCGCGCTTAGAGCGATCCTGCTTTTTGGCAGATCTTGTCAGCTCTGACTCAAGAGCATGCAGATCCTGTCACTGTCTCACACAGTATGCCACAATGCTGTATTCAAGCGCGGCCCATTATAGCAAGCACACGCGTATACATCAGGTCGAAGATTACCCGTGCAAGCCTAGACTGCGCAACACAAAGGCAGCCAATATCGGAGAGTGAGGTTGATAGCGCGGCCACAAACCAAGCATTGCTCTCCATAACATGCGTGGACAAGCCCGTGCCTTTTCGATGCCCTTAGACTTGGAGAGCAGCATATTGTGCAAACTCCGTTTGGCAATCGAGTCCCGGGTCGCTTCAGAGACCTGGCACATGCAGCACATGGTGCTCATCGGAAACATGTCAGGCATATGGCATCAGCCTGTCAATGCAGCGTGGTCTTCTCGTTTTCGTGGGAGCAGGGCGGACTAAAGCTGTAGCATGCCATGGAGATAGCACGCTTTTCGACAGCATCTACGCAATGCTCTAGGGGGAGGGAGGGGCGCGCAGGAGCATAAATCCCCGAAATACTAGGACCGAAGGCCACCTAAACTCTAACTTGAAAAAAAGAACAACAGCAACTCCCACAAGCTTCAAGTTTTCGCTCATGCCCCCGCAATAAAAGGAGATCTCAACTTCCGTCAAAATTCCTTGTATGAGCACGTTCTGCTGAGGCCAGGATGGCAACCTACCAGAGTATCATGTCCATGCGACCTGCTTGGCCCTGCTACAAACCTGTACTAGGCGCACGCTTTCAAAACACAGGTACGGGCAACATTCGAAAATAGAAATGGAACACCACGAATGCTTGCAAGGGGCAGGAGACACGAGGTCAGAAGGCAAAACACAAGGCGGCTCTTGGCAAAAGACGTGCAACACATCAAATGAATAGACAAACTTCACCAACAGCAGTCTGCAAGCGCACAAATTCCGCATTGGTGAGACTGAGTACCTGCAGGGAGCTGGAGCGCCGTAGACGGCGAAGGAAATGCCTGGTCACTGTAGAAATGGTGAGCAGCCCATTATGATTCGTCACGGGACAGACCAAGACCAGATCGCTTTTCTCTAAGAAGCATGCTGACTCTTTGGCACTTGGGCAAGTGATCGCGCTCCCAAGCACGAGGCACTTCACTCAGTCTGCAGCCTCTCCGGAGCGGATCGGAATGCCTTGACCAGCATGGCGCGCCAATGCTGATCAAAACCAGCTGCTCATGGCAGATAGTTGATGGGAGGGCCTCTGCATGTACTCACTGCAGGGATTCGTCTAGGCAGTAGGTCATGTCGAAGAATGAACAAGAATGCTCCTACAGTCTCGTTGCTCTGGATCATGGAGGACGCGGGAACAATCAAACAAGAAGTGCCCTCAAACAAGTGGCTCAGAGTGCCCCCCATGGCCTAGCGCAGTCTGTTTTCTTCTGGCTGATAGGGGTTTTGAGACTGGAGAGGTACTCCGGAGACTGGTGCGAGGCAAAACAATGCAAAACACACGACAACGTTTTGCATGTCGATTCTTGAAACTTATTTGTGCCTTCTCGTGACCTGCGTTCGACAGCACAGGTGTTCTGACTACTCAACAACAGTCCCCAGTCTCTGCATTGAGGGCTTTGAACCGAGACACAAGAGATGTGTAGCCTCTTGGCCACCGAACTATGTGGGAGAGTTCTAGTCCAATCCCTGCGCTCTCACACAGCTGCTGGCTGCTTTGCAGCTGCTAACTGGATTGGAAAACAAGGCAGAAATGATATGTTATGTGCACAAATGCAAGAAAAACGGAAATACCTGTAAAGCTGCAAAAGTCAGCCTTGCCAGGTTCTGCGGGCCATGATTACGAACGGATAGCATGATAACTCAGTATAACTTGTTCAGCGATGCTTCGGCTTCAGACTCAAGATCTCGTAGTTTTGACAGTGGAATTATCAACAAGAGATTCTGGGCCCTCCCACCCAAGAAGCGCATAAGCTCTTCGCATCGGGATGAGCACGACCGCCAAGAAATGTCAAGAGTGGCCATGAGCGGAATGCTCGTCAGAACTTGGCATCCCAGTCGTCAGATGGGTCGGCAGTGTATGCGATATACAAACCTCACGAGCACAAGCATGCACAAGCTTGAAAGCTCCGTGAGTCTGCCGGGGAGCTTCGGCTACTGATACCATGAAAGACAATCGAGCCGCGGCGAGCCACGAGAATCACGAGAAGGGTTCGCTGGCATCGCTTCACTTGCAGCCAGGGGGCTATCTGATGGGTCCAAACCCAGTTGCCCACGGTCTAGCCCAAAGTCATCCGTGAAGAAATGCTCGGGATAGCCTGTCATCTGAGCATTGTCAGTGAGAACCGCATTAGTGCTAACAACGACCTGAAAGTTGTTGTGTATGTCTGGAGTCTGGATGTCAAAGTAGCAGTCAGAGCTTCTCATATCTCCAAATGTTCGCGTGAAATAGGCCGGCCCCTATCGTCGCTATCGGTTATGGCGCGCACCCGTTAAATATGAGATATTCCAAGTGCAGGGTTGGCCCCTATCGGGCGGCTTTCATGCTCGAGCAGACCTCGTCGAATCCACATGACCGTTACCTGTTACCTCGTGCATGCTTTTTGTCCGATACACATTGCAATCCGCACACCGAAACGGCCGTAACATACTGTTCGCAGCCCCCGTTGCGAATCATGGTTTTGGCACGTGTTGGACTCCAGCCAAGAAGGGGGCTTTGGGAATCCCGGGAGAGTTGGAAATCAGTGCTTTGGTACGTTTTGGGATGGAGAGCCGGTGCCGCTTCTGACTGCCTTGAAGCAGTTCCGCAGAAACACTGGCCAATACTCGCCAGTTCAGACCAACCAACCCATAGACTAAGTAAGACCTGACTTCGAAATCTCAAAGCACGTGTGAAGTGCATGCGTGAGTGCGGGTCGGAGTCCTGGTAGAATCACGGTTCGGGGTGGGTTGAGCATGGTGGAGCCACACTGCCTTCCCAACATGTCCCAACGCTTGGGGCGTGCTCAGCGGAGTGAGCGGAGCGGGGAATGCGAAAGGCGAAAGGCGGGGAGTGTGGAGACCGCAGCGATGCGTGCTTTGCGGGTCCCCAGGGAATGTGTGGGGGGAGGTGAAATGTGCAGAAACATGCTGCAGCCATTTATGTAGCATATGCCATATTTGGAACCAAATGAACTCAGTGCCGTATCAGGGTAGTTTCAAGGTTCAGGCTAAGGGTTGTTAAGGCTGAGGTTTAGGCAGGTTTCCAGGTCAAGGTTTTTGCTTCGGCTTTGGAGGCCTCAAGTCCTAACGATAACAAAACGAAAGCGAAGCAAATCGTTTCAGAACACAAGCAAGAGCAAAAACCAAAAACGGCACCAGCGAGGCGTGTTCCTGGTACCAATCCCTGTCTCCTTCGACTCTGCACATCTCCTTAGCCATTTTACACCTATTTGTTTTGGAACCCGACTGTGTTTTCGATGCTTTCTGGCCAACTGTAGCTCGGTTCTCCGTTGGTCTCGCTGATCTTGGCGGTCTGCATTTCGTAGTTGTCTCTTCGCTGACCTTGTTTCCAAGCTCCGTCCTGCCTGTGCACTTCTATATTCCTTCGCTTGTTTTGGAAACATTGCAGAGTTCTCCAGGGAGTTCTAAGTTCCAAGAGGGTTCGACTCGCTTCGCAGGCCCCGAGCCCCTTCAGCGTAAGAGGTTGTGGAGCAGATACTGTCTGCAAAAGTCTGCTAACAGCAGGATTCCAACATGCTATGCCGGGTTGCAAATGCACACGAAAAGGGTATGACAAGGTTATGACAAGGTATGACAATGACAAGGATGCAGGATAACAGGCGGGGGCCGCTCCACTGCTTGTGGAACGGAGTCGGGAGCTTCTGCTCGTGGAATGCCTTGAAGTCAAAGGCCAACGTCCTTGTCACATGTGAAAGCGCCCACAGGCGCTGGAGCTGATGGGTGCGTGACTCCCCGCAGTCGTCCTGTACATGGCGTGGTCACGAACATCCTGGGCTCCTCCGCGTCCAGCTCCAAGGCGCTCATGAGGCCTTCTACATCGAGCGTGATATGTGTGAGACATACACAGCACTCCAGTACGTCCGAAAAGGCACGATCCGCCCAAGGAGCCCGCCGAATCTGCAGCAGTTGGGAAACGAAACCTTTTGGCCATGTGCCACATGTGCCAATGCACACTACTGACTCCCATGCACACTTACTGCACTCCAGACAAGGCCAGGGACCTTTCGCAACCTGTGGGAAATGAAAACCAAATTGAATAGGCCCCTGCTCCTCCCACGACACACCAGGTGACATCAACAGAAGCTGAGATTTGCATGTCAAGCCTTTGGCGACTCACTTTCCTGGCTCCGCCGGATCGCCAGGAGCCTCTCCATCGGATCCGAAACGCCCTCATCGGTGAAAGGCGTATGCCCACTTAAGATCCTAAGCTGTGAAAATCGGCTCTCGCTGGCAAAACACGCAGTCGACGGTGGAATTTGCAAATCATGCTGAGCAAGGCTCTCATAGGTAAGAACCCCCAGTGCCCACCAATCAACGCTGCTGTTGTGCGTATGCGGGAAGTCAATGACTTCCTCGACGCCGTCACAAAATGCTGTTGTCTGCGAAGGCATCCAGATCAAGGCCCTCTTCCAAATGCAGCAGGCGGCTGGCGCCATGTAGTCAGGTGTCCCGACCTGAAAGGCACCGACAAGTATGCCTTTCGCCATCGGCTGCCATTCCGTGATGTGCGCAAGAGACTGGCTCAGCTGTCGACAAGTGTATTCGTCTTGCTCAGCACGAAACGTGCGAAACCCATGTCACAAACCTGTCAGGAGGATTGGCAGGTTGATGCAATTTTGTTGTCTGATGGGCTCCAATCTATCACTTGTCACGAAGAAGAAGGTGTGAAACGTGATATTGCAACCGTGCACCCAAAACACCCTGACAGCACAAAACCTATCCCAAACCGTGGAACCAAAATACACAGTAGCGGCTGGCCGCTTTCCCGGCTAAGTTCCCAAACCAAACCCACGTCCCTGGTTTTAAAACATGTCTGGGTTTAGGACTCACGCTTCAGACGGGGAGAACAAACCCGAAACCCTGCGGGGACTCGGCTTCCGTTTGGAGATTCAATGTGGAGGACATTTTACCACTGAGGCCGCAGTTTGATGGAGAGCCGTTTTCGGATTGCAGCCTCGGAGTGCCTCGGAGATCTCCAGTGGCGCGCACGGGTTACAAACATGAACATGGCTAATCATGGGCTAGCATGGCTTCCGCCGAGGCTGCTGTTTTCTCACTCGTCCCGTTGGTTTTCCGACTGGGGCTGGCTGTTTTCGGACTGGGTCTTGCGGGTTTCTTGGGTTTCTATTCGGCCCTAGCGTTTTTCACTCGCACCCACCTTTTACCCGAAAACTTTTACCGACCCAGCCCGGCGTTAAGGGCTGCCGCTACTCCCCTGTACCCAGCGTGGCAAACTTCAAAACAAGCGAATCAAAAGCAGGCAGCACAATCTTTTGATTCCTGCCCAATGTTTACTCATGAGGCACATTGTGGAAACATTCCGAAACGTTTTCTGCGTACCAAGCCTTGGCATAGCCATGCTCATCCAGCAAGGCATTCTCAGGTTTAATGTCACCTGAACACTGGCGCAAGACAACGGAAGACATGCACAGTCAAGACGTCTCCACACATCAAGGCACAGGCGGTGCACAATTCGCCTTTCATGCAGGTGATCAAGTGCCTGGCTCGCTACGTCCGCAGAACCACAAAGAAGGGGCTGATGCGACGTTAGCGCACTGACTCGAATGTCTAAGACCAAGGCAGCAATAACACAAGCAGCATAGAAGGCCCCAGAATGGCCTGCAAGGTGATGGCGTATATATACAAGTTCGGAGGTATCTAGAGTTGCACCAGTGCTGCACCGACACAAGCTCCGACTTTGACGGATTCAGACACCGAGGCCCTGCCAGCACCATGAACTGTGGCCTGACTGCCTGACGATGCCTCCTAAATTCCAACATTTTGTAATGTGGCTATTTGCTACCCCGCCTTGTGAAACAGAGTTTGCTGCACCGAACCCTTTCTCAGGTTGCCCACCCCATAAGAGAGAGCGAGAGATTGTGTGTTCAAGAGGGGATGCTTGGTATCACGCCCTGTCGTTCCAAGCCTAAGTGTCACTATGCCAACTCTCCACAACGCTGGGGCGCGCGGATCGCGCGGGGGCTCCGGCCCTCAAGCCCCCAAGTGAAGTGAAGTGAAGATTGCGTGTTCGCAGCAGTTTAAGAGAGTGAGTGAGTGAGTGAGAGAGGGAGAGACACAGAGGCAGAGATAGAGATAGAGCTAGAGCTAGAGGTCGAGGTGGAGGTCGAGATAGAGATAGAGAGAGAGAGAGAGATACGTCTCAAGTGCGCAGAAGAAGAAGCAGAAAGAAGAAGAACAATAAAACAAGAAGAGAAAAAGAGAGAGATAGAGAGAGTTAGAGAGAAAGAGAGCGATAGAGCGGGAGATGAGGCAGGCGTGAAGAAGGGAAGCAATACACACGTAACATGAATGGGAACGCAAACGAGCCCGCATACCAAACAGAACTTGTGCTTCTGCTTGGGGCCCCATTTCGCAAACAATGACCTGACAACACAACTGAACAGCGCAGCATGTGAACCTCGATGGTAGATTCAGCACACAGTTTGGGTAGCGGTGGCTTTGGACGTTGCTGGGGCGAGGCAAGGCAAGGGAAGGGTGGAAGAAACGATCTCCGGGAGGCTTTCGCCTGCGAAGCAGCTGCTTGTGAAATGTTGTGAAGCATGATAAACAAGATTCAGATTTTGTGCTTTTGGGATCGAGAGACCCTCGAGGGTTAGCGTTGCCTGGACCCAGCGCCCCGCTGTGGCACATCCGCCGGTTACGACGGCGTGGACAAGGTCCGAGTACGGAAGGCAATTTCATAAACCCAAGATCTATTGGCAGAAGCTGAAGGAGCAGGTACATCACGCGAAGGGTGCTGCGCAGCCAGGTTTTTGGAGTTTGGGAGCCCTCCCATCGGCACTGCAGAAGCGCAGACGAATGTGCCTATTTTTTTTGATCGGGGCAGAGCTTAGTTCATCCAACTCGTTGATGAGCTAGGCCCAGCTAGGCTGTGGCAGGCCCTGCTTGAGGTTCAGCAGCAGCCGGGTGCAGATGGATTGCGTGAGCCAAGCAACCTCAAGGCACGCGACTGGACACGCACGGGGATATCCATCCGGACCAACGACTCCTGATCCGCGTGAGCAAGTCGCTGGATGATGACCGATCCAACTGCCGAATGGATCCGGACGGATGGGCTATTCTGGAGTCTACCTCATCACGACTGGCTACAATGCCGACGTGGACGAGCGAACAGCACGTGGCATGGGCTGGAATCCGCCGCGGGTTTCTGGCAGCTGGTGATGAAGGAGAGCTGCGTGAACGTTGAGGTAGAAAATGTAGAAACAGCCCTCCTGGCGTTGATGGCAAGCACTGGCTCTCTTCTGCAGGATCGACTTGGCTTCTCCTTCGATCCGGGAGGCTGTACCCACGCGGACTGCATCATCCAAGCCTTCATAGTAAGCTGGTTTGATGTTTGTTGGTATTCGCGGTGATTCATGGAGCTGTGCAAGGATGAGTCGAATGCGTGATCCATCCCCTCCACCACATTTCACAGCTTTTGTGATGCGTCATGTAGCGGCCTTCGCACCTTTGAGGGTAAGCTTCAACAGGTGGGCCTTTGAAGTCATTCACTTGTGACGATGGCGTGTACAGCTGCTGGTGAGCGTTTTGAGTTCTTGGTTGTGAGGGTGGATGGGCTCCATCGAGATGGATGTTGCTCAAAGCTGCCAGTTACCTCTCTAAGGTTTTCCTCGTTTCCATGCAGTTGGATTTCTGCACCACGTGCTTTGTTGTAGCTGTGAACACCCACGGACCCACAATATGGATTGCCGGTTTTGCAGGCTTCCGGATCCTTCCGGGGCCCTGGCTGAGCGGATACTGGTGGTGACAGTGGTGAGGGCACTTGGCCGGTCTTGCTTTGCATGAGGCGGGCGACAACCACTTAAAACACCAAAAGAAGACAAACAAACAAGAAAACCAAGATCTAAACTTTACACGATCTCCTTATCATGCCATTACCTTGTAATGGTACTAGCTCGCGCTCCCCCTTTGGATCATGAAACGGGTTGGGGGGGCAACCTCCGTGAGAAGCCCCAGAAAGAAGCTCGTTTTTAGCGTATCGGTTCGCACTTTCAAGATCATACCAGCCATGGTTGATCTGAGACAAGCGTGTCAGACACAAAGCCGGAGGCAAGTCTGTGCCCTTCTGTGAGCACTCGGGTGCGTCATGGAAGCAATGTTAGAGAATGCGAAATAGGGCGGGTCGGCGCTGCCTCGAGGCATATCCTGAACAAAAATCTCCGGATGGTCTTTGACAACCTGGCAGCGCTGCAAGCGAAGCAAGATGTGCGGGTCGTGTCTTGCGTTGTGCCTGCACCAAGCTACCACCCAGGGCTGCTTCTAAGAGGAAGTACACGTGCTGGGCGTCTTTGAACGTCCTCGGGTTCCGCTGACAAGCTGACATGAAATCTGAAGCACCCGAGCAACACGAAAAGAGCAGGTTTGCTCTACGAGAGTGAGATCGGACTGATCCCCGCAAAATGAAACAGGGGAGAGACACACTCCGCAACAGCTTCAAAAGGGGAAGAGAGTCTGAAGAGTTAGCAACTTGCTTTTCTGTGTTTTTCCTGCACAGAGAGAGAGAGAAGAGAGAGGGAAGAGAGAGGGAAGAGAGAGAGAAGAGAGAGAGAAGAGAGAGAGAAGAGAGAGAGAAGAGAGAGAGAAGAGAGAGAGAAGAGAGAGAGAAGAGAGAGAGAGAAGAGAGAGAGCCCGAACACTCTTCTGGAGTGCTCTCTTGCATGGGAGGGTTTATAGGCCTGTGTTGGGGGGCGGGGGGGGGGCACGAGGAGATCCCCTCGCTTTCGAGATCCCCTTTTTCTCTCTCCTTCAGCCAAGCTGCCGATGCAGGCGGATGACGAAGGTGCTGTCAATCATCGACATGATCTCACCTAAAGTGGCGAGGGTCAGATAGCAACAGCAAAAACCAAAAAAAACAAAAAAAATGAGTGAAAGCGACTGCCAAAGCTTGCATCGGATCTCGGCACAATCGCAAAAAACTTAATGCACTCGGGTCACGCTCTCCATTCACCAGCCGCTGTGTGCCCTGGAGGGGACATAGAAGTCTAGTTTCTGTTGAGCAATCTTCGCTGATCATCTAAGTGTTTGCCGAAGTCATGGTTGATGCACGGACGACGCTTTGAGGCTGAGCCTGCTTGGCCAAATGGCCTTTCGACAGGGCCTTCAGCGCATAGCGTTGCCCGCGCATCGCGTCCTTCTGCATTGCAAAGAAAAAGCCATTCTCACTGGCCGCGCGCAACTAGTTGAATCCATGCCGGATGACTCCTCGACAAGACAAACCTGGCCATATGCGCCTTTTCCAAGAACACACACTTTGGTGAGTTCATCCAACTCAACCTGCCAAGTGATCCGCACATATGCATCGATTAGATTAGAGGATTTTTCTGGCCCTTGCAACCATTCCCACCTGGCAGTTGCTTTGCATCCGATCCCAGCCTAACATGAACTGCCATAAGCACATGCAAGCTGCCGGGAAGGTGCCTCGCCGAGAAAGAAGTCAGATAAACAGATGAAGAGAGGAATAGAGAAAATAGAAACATAGACGCATGGATGAACAAAGAAAACGATAGATAGATAAGATAAACAGATGGCCAGACGGCTAGATAGCTAGCTAGATAGACAGATAGAGATAGATGAACAGATACATAGACGATGAGATACACATGCATAGGCCATACATAAATGGACAAAGAGATGCGGAGATATGTACTGTTAAACAGATGTATAAACACATTTAGAAACCCAAGCCGCTGGGATATATGTGGCCCTTGTGCTTCACCCTTGCGCGGTATGGGGTTCTCAGAAGGGGTCCTAAACCTACATGGCATCCTCATCTACTGTCAAGAGGCATTCGAACAACCCTCACATACACCCGAAAAGCAACTCAACTGCAGCCAGGCTGCTAACCGCCACGCCTTAGGGCAAGGAAAGCTTCCGGCGCCCGTCTAGATAACTGTAGCCCATTGCAGCGGGATCAACTATATAACGAGTCGGGCAACGATTCAATCCGTCGTCACGACTCTTGAACCCCCTTGCTTTTCGAACCCACCACTCCTGACACAAGGCACTTGTCGTCTGTCCAAGCACCATGGTCTGCACACGTGCTGGCATACAGTTCATAAGGAATTCCACTTCGAAGTCCTTCAGGTCACAGAATGGACTGGGTGCCACCGAGTTTTCCTCCGCCAGCAACTTTTAAGCTTTCTGCCCTCGACTGCGCTCGGGCAAAAAACTCTGCGAACTAGGCGGAATCTCCCGGTCACTGACAATTGACCTCTTTATCCTCTTTTCTCTTTCTACGAATTTTCGAAAACACGCCAAACAGGTGTCGAGAAGAGCCGGGACAGATTTGTCGCAGCTGCACAAAGACCTCGTAGAAACACGAAGCCCCCTGACACAACTGAAACTCCAAAAGGAGCAGAACGGGATCGGGGAACATGTTCACTCACTCACATCCATCTCATCTAAGTCGTCATAAAGTCGTCACAAAGAACGCCATGCACATGGCTGCGAATTCAGAGTTCATCCGCGTGAGTGACTTCTGCTTCTCTGCTTCGTTTCTCCATATGTCTGAAGTCCTGCTCCAAAACTTTCCGCAGCAGGACGCAAATTGTATCGCCCCAGAAGGTGAGGCACACCATTCCTTGGGAGACAATGTCAGGAGCCGTGGCAGGCGACTTTTGGCAGCAAGAAACCATGGAACTTTCAACAAGTCAAGGAAACGTCGCAGAAGCGAAACAAGTACCTACGGAGCCTACGGACAACCAGTCTTCGCCCCTTTTTCTGATTTGCAAGACAGACGTGCCTGATGTGACTGAGTTTGGAGCTACACCATGCTCTTTGATCGACTTCAATTTTCATCCCTAAAAACACCTCCGACCGTTTCGGACCCTTCAAGAGTCCTTAGACTACTTAGACCATACTTAGACCCAACCCGAACCCATCCTTCAAGTTTCAAGCCTCCTCTGCGAGACTGATTGTGTAAGGCTGCCAGCTATGGGTCGCGTACAGTTGCCCCACTCCAATCAGCTAGTCAACTCCCCATATGTTCTCGCTCTCTCCTCTTGCTGCTTCTCCACATCGAAGAGGGGCGTCCTCTCTATCGCTCTAGTTGTTTTCTTTCTTTCTTTCTTTCGTTCTTTCTTTCTTTCTTGCTGTCTGTCTTTCTCTCTTGGGGGCATGGGGGCATGGGGGCATGGGGGCAAGCCCCCTGGTTTCGCGCCAGCCCCGGTACTGCAGAGGCCCCAAATACCAGCGCGGTGGAAAAATTCGGTTCCCCTTGTAGGCTCAAACAGGCTGTCGACCCCTCAACCCTCCCCGCCCCCTCAACCTAAACACCTGGCAACTCCAAAGTACCCAAAAACCTCCCCGCAAGTGCCCCTGCCTCCACTGAGAACCTGCCAGTGCTGCAGCTGACTTCACACAGGCTTAGATTGTCCCTCCACCCTGCTTGACCTCCCTTGTTTTGCTTCGGCTACGGCAACTGACTAGACCCCGCTTTCCCGGCCCCCGGCGTTGCTTCAATCACGATGTTCGTCTGCTTCCCAACCCAACGCTAGCCTTCTTCTCCTCTATTGCCGCCCGCCCACCCCTGGTCTGGCGAGGGTTCATGGCTGTGGGGTGGGAGTCGTCCTTGCGTTCTGGCTCGGTGCGGTGTCTCCCCCCTCTCCTCCCGTGTTGGCCCCCCCTCCCAGTGTCGCCACATGTGGTTGTGGAGGCTGTGGGGACTCGGGCATGTCTTTAATGGCCAGCAGTTCTACTCCCCACAGTTCTCTAGTCCATGCTTCTAGTGCTTGGAGTGCCGCTTCCACCTCTCTCCTGACTTCCCCCCCGTGAAGGGCAGCAGGCCCATCAGGCCCCTCAGAATCTGCCGCGCTCGCAGGGCTGGGCGGATCGCATGTTGCAGCCGGGCATCTCCGTGAATGTTTTCCGCTCCCCCCCTCCGCCAGGCTGATGGCGTTTCTTTTATTTCTTTGATTTCTTTTATTTCTTTAATTTCTTTATTTCTTTATTTCTTTATTTCTTTATTTCTTTAATTTCTTTATTTCTTTATTTCTTTATTTCTTTATTTCTTTATTTCTTTATTTCGTTTTTTCTTTTACTTCTTTATTTCTTTATTTCTTTATTTCTTTATTTCTTTACTTCTTTATTTCTTTATTTCTTTATTTCTTTATTTCTTTATTTCTTTATTTCTTTATTTCTTTATTTCTTTATTTCTTTATTTCTTTATTTCTTTATTTCTTTATTTCTTTATTTTATCTTTATTTCTTTATTTCTTTATTTCTTTATTTCTTTATTTCTTTATGTCTTTATTCTTTATGTCTTTATTCTTTCTTTCTTTATTTCTTTATTTCTTTATTTCTTTATTTCTTTATTTCTTTATTTCTTTATTTCTTTATTTCTTTATTTCTTTAATTTCTTTATTTCTTTTATTTCTTTATTTCTTTTTTTCCTTTATTTCTTTATTTCTTTATTTCTTTATTTCTTTACTTCTTTACTTCTTTACTTCTATATTTCTATATTTCTTTATTTCTTTATTTCTTTATTTCTTTATTTCTTTATTTCTTTATTTCTTAATTTCTTTATTTCTTAATTTCTTTATTTCTTTATTTCTTTATTTCTTTATTTCTTTATTTCTTTATTTCTTTATTTCTTTATTTCTTTATTTCTTTATTTCTTTATTTCTTTATTTCTTTATTTCTTTATTTCTTTATTTCTTTATTTCTTTATTTCTTTCTTTTTCTTTATTTCTTTATTTCTTTATTTCTTTATTTCTTTATTTCTTTATTTCTTTATTTCTTTATTTCTTTATTTCTTTAATTTCTTTATTTCTTTTATTTCTTTATTTCTTTTTTTCCTTTATTTCTTTATTTCTTTATTTCTTTATTTCTTTACTTCTTTACTTCTTTACTTCTATATTTCTATATTTCTTTATTTCTTTATTTCTTTATTTCTTTATTTCTTTATTTCTTTATTTCTTAATTTCTTTATTTCTTAATTTCTTTATTTCTTTATTTCTTTATTTCTTTATTTCTTTATTTCTTTATTTCTTTATTTCTTTATTTCTTTATTTCTTTATTTCTTTATTTCTTTTAATTTTCTTTATTCTTTTTCTTTATTTTCCCTTTTATTTTATTTTCTTCTTTATTTCTCTTTATATTTCTTTAATTTCTTTCTCTTGTTTTCTTTCTTTTCTTTCTTTCTTTCTTTATTTCTTTCTTTAATTTTCATTAATTTTCTTTAATTCTTTCTCTTTATTTCTTTATTTCTTTATTTTCTTTATGGTCTTCAATGTCTTATTTATTTCTTTCTTTCTTTCTTTCTTTATTTCTTATTTCTTTATTTCTTTATCTTCTCTCTCTTTATATATTCCTTTATTTGAAGTTCCTTTATTTCTTTATTCTTTTATTGTCCTTTTATGTCTTTTTATTTCTTTATTTCTTTTATTTCTTTATTTCTTTATTCTTATATTCTTTAGTTTCTCTTTGTTTTCTTCTTTATTTCTTATTTCTTATTTCTTTAATTTCTTTATTACTTATTTTCTTTATTTCTTTATTTCTGTATTTCTGTATTTCTGTATTTCGTTATTTCTTTCTTTCTTGTGTTCTTTCTCTCTTTCTTTCTTTCTTTCTTCCTTCCTTTCTTCCTTTCTTTCTTTCTTTGGGGCCTGGAGGGCCAACCCTCCGCACGCGACGTGCACCCCTCTGCGTCTCCACCAAACGACATCGCCGAAGTGACCCACAGCTCACCCTCTCTTCCTTACCCCCCCCCCCCCCTCCATAGACCGACTGTGAGACAACTCCACGTGCCCCTACTAACCCCTCTCCCTCCCTCGCTCCCTCTCTCTCCCTTCTCTCCCTCCTTCTCTCGCTCCTCTCTCCCTCCTCTAGCCCCCCTCTCTCCCTCCCTCGCTCCTTGCTCTTTCTCTCTCTCGCATGAGCGGCCTCATTTCCCTAGCAAACCTCTCTCTATCCTGTACACGGTTTGACAAACACTGCGCACGTCAACTTTCAATTTGCTATCATGCCACTAACCAGAAGAAAGCGAAATCACAAAGTGAGACTGAAAACACGGGCAATCGACCCGTCTCAATGTTGTGGTCCACAGACCACACGAGTGCAAGAGTTGTGTGGTGTTGTCATCCTGTCTCACGCGGAAAGGCAGACCTATGCGTAGCATCCTGTGCAGGTCTAACAATCTCCT